AAAAGAGCACATGCATCTAATATGTTACTGGAAAATGATCACTTTCCCACAAGACATATGGAGACAACTGCCTTAACTGACTGTATAAGGCCCCTGCACTGAGACAAGGCCAATCTGTGTGACGGATGGCACTAACGTCAGAAATGCACGAGTGTTCTCCTTGGGCGACGAAGCAATAATGTCTCTGTGCCAGAGTTACTGCCACTATTAAGACTAGGTGCAAGGCATTAATTACACTCACAGCAGAAGCAGAAGCAAAGGCTGAGGCACAGCAATATAATAGTATTGAGACTGTCATTTCCCAGTCCAAACTCCTCTAATTAAATCCCTGCTGATGTCTGCTGTTCAGGTATAGAGTCTTAATTTCAACAGGGGGAGGAATGAAAATGAAAGCAAACAAACACAGTTTAAGTCTTATCCAAGTAAGGAAGACCAGACATTTGGGGGGATTTGAATATTTTTGTTTTGAACCGAGGGCATTAGAGGGCATTGTTTGGTTGATTTTTTATCTAGGAATCATCTGCTGCCCTATTTTGAAATTAACTGGACAGCATTCATACTGTAGAATGTAACTGACTCTTAAGTCAGCCAGAACTTGGTGCTTTTTAGATGCAATTTGCACATTATAATTCAAGACTTGCAGAACAACAAGAGCACAGGAAAAATCCAGCCATCACATTGCTGTATGTCTCCATAGGCCAATACTCAACAAAGTAATTTTATGACCTAGTCCCAACAGTAGGATTTGATATCATGGCAACTTATAGGGCTATTTATACCTCCAGATCCCAGAGTGGTATACAATAGTTTCACAAGCAATTCTGTGTATCTGTTTCTCTCTCTGGCTCTCCTTCTTCATCTTCTGCATTATATTTTTAACAAAACTTTATTCAGTATAAACAAGAAAAAAGGAGGTTCCAATATCAAATCTGGGAAATTTTTACATCTATGATTTAAGTCTTCATCCTTAATGAAATTTCAGGTTAGCTTTTAAAAATAAAAGCTTCAATCTGTTTCTTATTATTTTACTTCAAGGGAAAGAAGTAGGCAATCCCACTCATCTTTGTTCTTCCCTTGGCCAACAGAATACTCAAAAACAGAAGTTGGAGATGAAATTGCAGAGGTGGTCACATTTGAAAAAAAACTACAATATTTGGGGAGAGACTCCTTTTTTTTGGGCTATTTTCACTCCATTTCTGATTTCTTGATCCTATGGTCCAATTGGCTATCTACCTTGACGTTTGCTTCCTTTTGAAATTAAACTAGATCTCTTATAAATGCTTACATTTACGTAGGTCACTCTGAAAGTAACGTCTCCTCTTTGTTTCCATGGAAACTACAACAGATATAAGGAACACAATAACACTATTAGATAGAGCACATTCACATCTACAGAATGCTGTTTTTCAATACAGTCACTACTGTTAGCTGTTAGCTGATAGGGATGAGCTGGTTTAAGACACTGTTCCGTTTTGCCACGTGACGGCTGTCTGGAACATGGCTTCTCTTTAACATCACTGTTACCACACCTGAAACGCACCACCCACTGCCTCACTGTGCTCACATCCACTGTTTGGTCTCCATAAATGTTCAGCAAGCATCGATGAACGTCAGTGGGTGCAATTTTTTCTGCATGGGGGAATTCGGTTCCACAACTTTGCATCATACACACTTCCATGTTAGGTGCCATTTTGTCAGACTGCCCCTCTGCTGCCCTCTACCATACTGCAACCAAATGTAACGGAATATTGGCAGGAAGGTTCGACCTCTGCTTCCATATCACTAACATCTGCTTCTGACACTCTGGGCTGACATCATGAAATGGAAGGCATTACTTTTGGAGCAGCCCTCATAATTCCCTTGGTGGAGGGGGAGGAGGGGAAAGGTGGATTGTTGTAGAAATCATTAGTCGATGGTTTATACAGCTGTGATTTCATTTTCAGGTTATTAAAAACTAATAACTTGTCATTTAATTAGACTAGATGATGAGAATCCACTTCAAAGTTAGAAATAGACTTAAAAACTGCTTATTTTCTTCCTCACTAATAAGAAAATTACTTACTAACGAATCACTATGACTTATAACTGAATTTAGGAATTACAAAGGACCTGGTTCTTCATTATATTCACCATAGTTATACATAGTTTCATAAGTTATCTTCTTTATTTGCATCAAGAGTACTATTAAATATAGTATTAATTTACCTGAGCAGATTATGGGAAGAAACCCTTAGAGGACATTATTGGCAATGATCTACAATAAAGCTTATTGCTTATCCAGAAAATGAGCCTCTCTGAACCTATGGTCTTAACTCTAACAACACTGCACAGCAGTGCTCTAGAGCCCTGAGCAGAGTAAAAAGAGCCATTCAGTGACCACGTCCATTCAGAGAGTAGATCCTAAGCTGAGCCTTGAACTTAGGTGACAAGTACTGTCAGACGGAGCACAGACCTCTCTCCCTAAAGTAATGAGCCAAGACCTCCAATTTATTTCACATGAACTATTTAAGAGCCACCAGATAATAATGGCTATCAGTCACTGCCAACCCATGGTGAATTTACAATAGTGACTTGGAGGGGAAAGTTTCTATGTCATAACCCTCTAGGCATATAGTCCCTGTATCATGCCATTTATTAGGCAGCTTGGCCCTGAAACTACGTTTATTTGTTCCATAATATTTCATGCTATATTGTCCGAGGTTAATAAAGCCTCATTAACAGCTGCTGGTAGACCCCATAAAGCTCTTCAAGATTTCATTTTACAATAATGGCAAAGAACCTCACAATTTATTTTTCCCCATCCAATCTCAAATGCCCTACAGCAAAGGCTTAAATTTGGAAGAGAATGAAAAAAAAAAAAAAGCTATCTGTTCAGGAAAGGCAAAAGTAGCACTTGTCTCCAAGTCATCATTAGTTATGGAACCATTTTTAATGCATAAAATGCTGGCTAAAAGTATCCTTTTTGTCTTATTCATTTTGAGATATCAGGAGAGAGTATAATCCTCTGAAAAATATAGCAGGCAAATAGATACTTGTGTAGCTCTGCTCTTCATTTCAGAAATTCACATTTTACTGTAAAAGTGGTGAGAAAACATTGTCCTGTGGAAATAGACGTGTGGATTTTATGATGAGGAGAGGGCAGGGAAAAATGCACTGTAATAGGCAAGTCAGTTTTCTTATGCACCAGACGATACATTCTGTTAGTTTGTCTAATATCGCTCCAAGGAAAAAATCTGGCTCATAATGGCAATGATTTTGAATTATCACATCTTTGCTGCATAATTCCCATTGACACTACTTGAATTTCATCTTTGACCTCACTTAGCTTTCCTCTAAACTTCTGAAAACTAAGCAGTCTTTATCTCAAGATCTCTTTCTATGTAATCACAAAGGCCTCTGAGCCTTGGTACTTTAACGTTTGAATTCTGACTAACACTATAAATTGCTGAAATAAGTTGTTCTTCCAAAAGAATAAGATCCTCAAAGCACTGGGATTTGGCTTGTTTTCTTCAGCCAAAAAATATGGTCTTCTTATAGAGCTCTTCAGTACTGGGAATTCAGTAGAAGTTCATAACTCCTTTTTTAACTTCTTTAATGGCAGAACAGCTCTGGAACATTCAGCAAAGAAAATAAGGTAATATATCAGAAGAAGAGTGTTCTTAAAATCTGCTATTTAAGAAACACATTAGAACTTCCTAAAAGGAGTAAAACAGACACAGCTGAAGGAGCGTGCCAGCAGCTCATGGCGGGAGTAAGACGCAATATTTACTTTCTACATAAGCAAAACAGAAGAAAAGCACACCCAGCAAACAACTTTGATACAGGGCAAGCTTTGCCTCTGTGTGCATACACAGTTCTGAAATAAAATATGAAACATTTCTTCACCAGAGAATTCACAATCCAAACAAATGAAGCACACAAATGAGTTCAAGACAGGAGAAGAGTAGAGCAGCAAAGTGGTTTGTCCAGAATCACAGACCTGGAAGACACAGAGGGAACTTGAAAGCTCCTGGCTCTTATTTTACACTAAATCTGTAGGAGAAGAAGCCAGCTCTAGTTTGGTTTTCCTCTGTACATTCATTCCTCTCCACTGCTCCACTGCTCTTTCCCAACCTCTCAAAATATATGTATATGAGAACTTGGAATTTGAGTGTTTTACACAGGTAAGCATTACACTATTCATAGTAACAACATAAATCAGCATATATCATATTCCTGCTACACTGAGATAAGATTGAAGAATTATAAAATACCTATCCCCTCAGTTTTATACTTGTAAAATTTCAGCTTTATGTCCATAAATACGAAAAATATTTGCTAAGATGGGTGTAGAGGGAAAACTGCAGGTTTGCATATTATTCTCCATTTGAATCTATGCAGTACAATTAATATTGCATGTATTCCACATTTTTTTTCTTGTTTATTCATAATTCACTTGTATGTGAATTTTCAAGGGCAGCAAAATAGGAGATCAAAGAATCAAAAAGAAGAATTTAAGCAATTTTGATCAGATTGTTACTAACCTTCCATATACATAGTTTTCTCCCTTCTAAATTTATTCTAGTCATCTTTACACATGAACCATCATGTTTAACCATCTTTTAAAAATATTTCATTTTGCGCTGTGAAATAAAAAGGAAGATGAAACAATATGCATCCATTAGACAAAACAACAGCTTTGAAGAAGTGGGATGTACTTCACACTGAATCCAAGGGAGAGCTTAAGCAGCAATGGCAGAAAGGGATACTCATGTATCTGTAGGTCTATGGCCATGCTCACACCTAAAGGATCTTGTAATATTTGCTGTGATGCTGTATCAGTAGGAAGTCATACATACAAAGAGATAAGCTTACAATAAAGTTATTGCCACTCCTCTATCTCATGAAATATGTACCTAAAAACCAAGTGACAGGAGGGAGAATTCACAGATGTGCATGTAAACCAGCAAGACATTGAGATACACGAACGTGTGAGAGCTGCTGGAGTCTGTTACCTGTAGGTGCATGCCTTGGGTTTGTCCTGTTCTGGCACAGCCACTGAGGAACATATCGATGGTTTGTGATGGAAATACTTCAGAATTCATGACTTACAGCCTAAATAAACAAACAAACAAACAAACTGTCTTGATTAGGGCCACAAAAATAATCCAAGGGATGAAATGTCTTCCCTACAAGGGGAGGCTGAGAGAGCTACAGCCTGGATAAGAGAAGGCTCTGGGGAAACTTGAGAGCAGCCTTTAATTACCTACAGGGGTGGTATAAGAAGGAAGGGACAGGCTTTTTAGCAGGGTCTGTTGTGATAGGACAGGGGGAAATGGTGTCAAACTAAAAGAGGGGAGATTTAGATTGGATATAAAAAAGAAGTTTTTTACAGTAAGGGTGGTGAGGCACTGGAATAGGTTGCCCAGAGAGCTGGTGGATGCTCTGTCCTTGAAGACATTCAAGGTCAGGGTAGATGGGGCTCTGAGCAACCTGATTTAAATGTAGGCATCCCTGTTCATTGCAGGGGTGTGGACTAGATGGCCACTAACGGTCCCTTCCAACTCAAAACTTTCTGAGTCTATTTCTCTATGCCCTACATAGGAAATTTACTTTCAGGGAGGGACCTGAGGAAGATCTGGGCACATTCAGAGCTGCTATGCACTCAATTTTTAATTCATTTTTCATGTGGTTTTGTGGAGAACGAATGTTACCCTTAGGGAATTAAAAAAGAAAAAAAAAACCTCAAAGAGAGAATGAAATTTTAATGTTTGACATCCCTACTGGCAACTTCAGGAAAAATACTGTTTTGAATTGACTTCTCTCTCAGACTCGAAATGGTAGGGAAGGCCTATGTTCTTCATACAAGTATATCACATGCTTGTCTCCTCCTTCCTTCACTCCATCCTCTCAGCACACAACAACTTTTTGAAGTTCGCACAGAATAAAAAGAAAGTGGGTTTCCCATCTTCATGACTCAACAGTAAGGAAAAGCAGAAAAAAAGGGGGAAGAATGAAAAGCTATGTGTGCAGAGTTAATCAAAGGCAGTCATGAGCTGCTCTACCCACACTCTGAAGTGGTTAGCAGCAAGGCAGCTCACTTCTGGAAACTGCAGAGGCTCAGGTTCTGAGCTCTGTTCATATATGCTGCCTTTCAGCACATTCACATTTTTTCTTGCACCGTTTATTCTCTCTCTGACCCTTTGGAAAGAGATTATCTGAGGTTGTTACTTGCAATAGCAGGGATTTTGACTCAGTGACCCAGATGGTCTCTTAGTCTGAAGTTCCTCTAATTCCTTCTCTATACTCCATAAGCTGTGGCTTTCCAAGCAGTAGCACGATCAACCTCTTCTTTACATACAGCATCTTTTATTGAAAGTACAAATACTTGTCTGTATCCTAGCACTAAGTTGTACCACAGTGACTGTGCAAACTAGTGTACTGTTTGCCCACAAGAACACTACAGAAAAGAGTTATCACTGGTATCTGAAAAAAGAGTTTTCTCTATAAAATTCTTTATTTTAGACTGATAGACTAGTTTTAAGTTACATTTTAACCATAAACATTGGAGAAGCTGTCCCAGATGGTGAATGTGAAACGTGCTGTAAATTTTAATGAAGCAAATAAGTCACTAATAAGCATAATGCCAACACTGCTGTGTTTTTGGTAGATGTTAATAAAGCAAAATTAAAAAGGAACATGCAGCATTTAAATAAGAGCCTAAGAAGCCTAATATAATTTGCTTATTCAGCTATTCACACTTTGATTGCACAGCCCCTAGTCATCTGCTCAAGTACAGCTGCTTCATGTAGAAAACAAATAAAAAAAAGTTTTATTGTCCACCAGATGTCTCAGCTTGTAATACTTGCTGCTATATTTCAGGTCACACAAAGTTCAGGCCCATTTAGGAATCGATTGTTCTTGGATGACCAATCTTGTGACAGTGGTCGAAACTCTTGGGCCTCGCGCTATGAATGTCACAGGCACCCAAAGCAGGCAATTACCAGCGCTCTGGGGAAGAGCTGGAAAAAGCTGCAGTGGGGAGAATTAATACAGCAGACACCCAGCTCTATAGAGTCACGGCAAGACCACTGACAGGGCCCTACCAGGTTTCCTTTGTTTCCTTAAAATGGGTTCTTTATTATTATTTAATGAAATCACCAGTAGAAGAGCCACCGTTTTTCTGCATCATCACTTTCACTGCTCTGGAGAGGGAGCTAGCCCACACAGGGGTTCTGTCTCTTCCCAAATCACATGTAAAAAATCTATGAAGCAGTTATCAGCTGGAGTTAAAACATCCTGTAGCGAGGGTGCCTGCTGGTCTGCTGCACACTGCGGGTCTGGAATCAGCAGGCAACATTTTGTTTATGGATTTTACAATGCTTCTGACTAGGGAAAGGATGAACAGGAGGGTGTTTCCACATACACCTTCTCCTCCAGAGAATGAAAAGAGCAAAAGTGATTGGAAGGAATCCAAGCAGAGCCTCAAACCCCTGCCAGAGCCGAGCCGAAGGAGCAGCTGCAGCACACTGACTGCAGCACCAGGTTTCCACTAGGATGAACTGAGACAGCTGAAGATTTTAAACAAGGGTGCCCAATGCCCAAAATACTATATACCTTTACTGCACAGGGTATGATGCAACTTGGAACTTCCCAAAACTGACAAGATATTTCTGAACTTTTTCTCCTGGTGGAATTTGCACAGCAACACAGACATCTGTTTCTCACCTTATTGGATGATTTACAAGGAGCAATACCTTGACACAAATATTTTACCAGGAATAATGTCGTGCTGCTACACATAATTTACACAGTGCTGCAGAAGATAGAAAAAAAATTACATGCTTGTCAGGCATCTACCTCTCAGTGTAACTTTCTCCTCAGCACTCTATATTTTTGCAACTGCATGCAGCCAGCATCACCTCCTGGGCCTTAAACTTACAGTGCAATTAATGGACAAGTCACTTGGTCAAAATCTTCTTCTTTCAAGCTTTACTACTGTTAGCCCTAAAACAGAAAAACAAGAAACAGAGGATTAGTCAGCTACTTACTAAGCTCAGACAAAAATGTAAGTTCCTTCTGTCCTATAGAGCACTTAGGTTTGGAAGGGTTGTTGATGTCTTTGCAGGGACTTTCATTTTGATCTTGTACATCTTCCTACTATCAAACTAGTTGGTTCTCCAAAGCCTGCACTTCTCACTTTGCTTTGCTCAGTTTGCCAGCTCCTCCTCGCCCATTTTTCCCCTCTCAGCATCTGCTAGCTTCTCCCCATGAAGCTGACTGTCCCTGAGGACCACACAAGGCAGTTTATGAAAGTCCTCTCTACTCAACTTCTCGTTCATTGCCAATTCTTGACTGACAACCACCACCTCCATGTCATTCTGTGTACCCTTAAAAAAATAAAAAAATAATAAAAAAAAAACCCTCAGAAAAACAAAGTGGTTCCAAATAGGCAGAGGGATAAATTTAGGAGAATTTGATCAAATACAAATTACAACTTGAGAAATCAAGTTATGTGTCCAGAGAGAGCATAACATGTACCTGAGGACTTGTGAACAGGTTGTTTTATGACTGAAAAACGCACATCTTAGCATGGCAGTGTGCAGCCTCTGTGAAGACAAAGACAAGCCCAGGATGGCAGCTAGGGCACTGGGAAACCAGTCTGGCCTTCAGTAATCACCTGCTCCATTGAAGTCCCATTGATTTGAATGATAGCTTCCTTTGAAGAGACATAAAATCTGATTCTATCTTTTTAAGACTCTGCGTCACTTTTAGGCCATTGCCAGCTCTTGTTTCGTTGCGAGGCAGACTGTAACAGGTATTCTTCAAGCTGCAAGGACTAGAGTACTGGGATTATGAAAACACTACGTGACCCAAATCTAATGGCTCAGAAGGCAAATGTAAGGAAATTGAGCTCGTCAAGTCCCATTTTTGAGCCAAGCTCAAGAGGTTTCAAACATAGATGGTTGAATATATAGTATCACTGCCAATTCTTTAAAACCAAATTTGTCCCCTCTGGTGTTTCAATTATGCAAACAGCACTGTGTACACAGACAGACAGTGTTTATGCTTTCAGTAGCAGATCGTGCTATCTAATCTGACACACAAGCAACTGTTAGCTTACTGTAGGTTCTTTGAGCAATTATCATAAAAAGTTATTACTTTATTGTGACCATAAAATTAAAATTTACCCTTTATTTGCCTATGTCACACTTAGAATTATCCATTATCTAGGTTATTATTAATCACCTACTATTATTTCTCATTCTATTTGCAGTTTCAGAAGAGAGTTAACTCACCTAATTCATTGGAGTTTGGTCACACCTGCACCAGCACAAAGTAAGAAGTAGGACCTCCACTGTCTGGATTACTTCAGCAGGTCTTGATCTGATCATCTCCAAAATTCACAGAAGTCAAGAGTGCCTCTCACAGACACCTTCAGGCAAAGGCAGGCAGAGCCAGAACCTCAGCTGTTACGAATTGAGTGAGATCAGCACATCTGGCAGTTTCAGGTAGGCAGCATCTGACCAGCAGCAGAGCAGAGCAGGAGGGGGTATGAAAGCCTAAAGAAGCCAACGGAGTAGATAGGATGCTAAGGTTTTATCCTTTTCCTTACCTCTCATTTGCTTCTTACTGCTACTCCTACTAAGCTTTTCCCTCTAGTCTTAAAAACTGTCTGCAGCCTGCAGAAGAGTAGCTAATATCCTTTTTTTCTTTAACTAGCAATAATCCCCTATCTCCATTACTAGTTTAAGACTCCCAATCCAAAGTCAGAAATAGGTCTTGCTATTCAAATTAGTACAAATATGTTAGCATAAATTTTAAAGTCTTGAGAGTTTTGTTCTGATGGAGTTTTTGTCATCTGAAGTCAAATCTGGATTTGAATTCTGGGAACACCTCTGCTGTAATTTGACCTGAATAGTGCCTGCTTTGATTTATTTTGGAGATATAGATGTATTCTTGTCTTGTAAAGGCATAAGTGAGAAAAATATAAATCTAATACTCAAATCTGAAAAAAAAACCTAAACAAAACAGAAATAGAAAGAACAATCATAAGGAAAACAAACAAGTTAATATACAGGAGGGCTAGGGATGGATAAGTTTGAAGTGCAGTTTCAGATTTCCCTTAAAACTTATCAAGAGGAAACTTCTTCTGACAGCAGTTTAAGTACATTTGCCTTCATACATTTCAGTGCCCTTTGTAATTTGATGTAAAGGAATGATTCTCTAACTTCCTCTGGTTCCTATTCTTTCCACAACATGTTCAATGCAGGTAAAATGCTTCCAAAAACTGAATGCATAGAGTCTATGAAATAGACCATAAAGAAAAAAATGATATGGGAATTAGTGCAAAACAGGTAAAATTTGCTCTTGCAGCAACTGCAGATACACTTATAGTAGAGATGGATTCATATATATGTATTTATTTGTATACATATATATGTGTGGACATTGCCAGAAATCCACACGTCCACTGCCATGTATCATGATACCGTGTGTATTCAATTATGTGCTATCTGTGCAGCTTCTAAATCATACATTTCAGTTCATGCATCTTCTGAGCACCCTCAGAGGATGCAAATGTACCATCGTTTGCTCCTAAAGACTGAAAATGAAACAACTAAAATGTAAGGCCTCCATAAGGATGTACTTCATTAATAATGAAATCCTCGTAAATATTAAAAAGACAAAAAACAAAACCAAAAACTGTGGAAGTGTGAAGTAGGATCACTGAGATTCAGACTGCTTGAATTCGTTTGACTGAAGATGCAGTTTTATTCATCTTGATATCACTTTTAACAGATTTCAGACTTTTAATATTGTTTTTCTAGTGCTTACAAGACACACTACCCTTATAAAGACTATCTGTTACCTCAATCAGTTTCTCAAATATACATATTCATCTAAACTTAGGTTCTAAATTATCTGCAGTAAGTGCAAATGCGCAGCAGAAAAAGCAGGGTGACCCCTTAGAAAACAAGCTCAAGAATGCTACATAACATTAAGTCTGTCTGTAACTAGTGTGTTTAAAGGTTGGCTAATGAAACCCATTTCATTTAGGCAAGTTTGTCTCCTTTTGCATTATTTTTCTGCTTATTATTCATGGCCTGCCTGGGCAATATTGTGTTAAAATCCCATTTTAAATCCCATGCTTGAGAGATGACATTTTTATGTAGTCAGTTCTCACCTCCTGAGTTCTTTCCCTATGAAAAACTGTGTCTGTTCTGCAGAGATAAAGCAAGAACACACACAGATTCAAAAGCTCTCATGAGGGGGAAGAGGTTCAATGTTAATATTTCTGTTCTTTGTGCTTCTTCATTAAGTAGTTTGTTAATTAAAAGCCCTTTTTGGATTTTGTTTGGCAGAAGTAAAGCATTTGATCAGCTAAACCCTTTATACCTGGTCAGATCTCATCCCTCTCATCCTCCATCACCAAGAGACCACCTGCAATCCTTAGGGACTGTCTTAGCTACAAAGGAACAGAACAGAGCTGGTAGCACTTTTAGGATGCTTTTCTGTGAGCACAGAAGCTTTCCATCCCCTAGAATACAAAATCAGGCAGGTGAAGCAGGAAAGTAGCATGACTAAGATAAGACCTGCTGGTCAGAGGGAAAAAATGGAAAAGTAGTGGAAGCTTGGATGGGTGACTTGGGAAGGATATAGGGATACTATCCAGATGTGTGGGATAGGATTAGGAAAGCCAAGGTGTAGATGGAATTGAACTTGGTGACGGATGTAAAAAACTACCAGAAGGGTTTCTTTAGAACACTGAGGCTGGCGAAGGAGAGTGTACCTCCCCCAACAAATGAAAAGGGAGAGCTCGCCTCCTCAGACTTGGAGAAGGCTGAGGTATTTACTGAGTTCTCTGCCTCAGTCTTAACAGCTATTCAGGCTTCTCATGCCTCTCATGTCCTTAAACTTTTAAGTAAGGGTCAGGGGAACAAAATTCTTCCTCGTGTAAGAGCAGAGCAAGTCCAAGACCACCTCATAAAGCTGAATCCACACAAGGCTGTGGGGCCAGATGATGTGCATCAAGGGTTTTGAAGGAATTGGCTGATGTGGTTGCCAAGATGCTCTATGCTGTATTTGGAAAATCATGACTGGCAGGTGACGTCCCAGGTGAACAGAAAAAGGAAAACATTGCTCCCATATTCAAGAAGAGGAGAAAGGACAACTCAGGGAACTACAGGCTAGTGAGCCTTACATAAGTTCCTGGAAAGATCATAAGTGGATCCTCCTGAAAGAGATGTTAAGACACATGGGAGATGTGGAGGTGATCTTAGACAGCCATCATGGCTTCACCAAGGGTAAATTATGCCTGACTAATCTGGTGTCTTCTATGATGGAATGATGACATCCATGGACAAAGAAAGAGCAACTGATGTCATCTACCCAAACTTCTGTATGGCCTTTGACACGATCCCATAGCACAATTATATCTAAATTGAAGAGAATTTGAAGGCTAGACTATTCAGTGAATAAAGAACTGACTGGATGGCCATAGCCAGAGGATTGTTGCCAATGGTGCCAATGGCTCTGTGTCCAGGTGGAGGTCATTCACGAGAGCTCTCCCCTGTGGATGCATTCAGGGACCAGTGCACCAGTGCTCTTTAGCAACTTTATCAGTGACACAGTGGGATTGAGTGTACCCTCAGCAGATTGGCTGATGATACCAAGCTGAGTGATGCGGCTGATACAATAGAAGGAAGGATACCAGAGAGATCTGGACATGCTTGAAAAGAGAAATAAGAATATAATGATGCTTAGCAAGGCCAAAAGCAAGGTGTTGCACTTGGGTTGAGGCAATATGAGTGCAAACTGGGAAAATAACTCACTGGGAACAGTCCTGTGAAGAAGAACTTAGGAGTCCTGATGGATGAAAAGTTGGACATTAGCCAGCAGTGACATTTCAGAGACACCTCAAACACTGGTTCTTCCTTGGAGCCCACAGGGATTTTTGAATAGCCTGAATTCATATGAGCTAACGCAATACATTTACCCCACCTCCCACATCACTTGCAGTAGGATGTTAACTTTCTCCTAGACTTGTTTGTGCAAAGTGACCCAAACCACAGTCTAAGCACAACTGGGAAACTGCTGCCCAAACATTAATGTCCATGATGGATGAGTTTATTTAATAAAGATATTAATGACTGGCTCAAAACACCTGCTTCTGCACAACCACCACCACAAGGCTCCTTACCTGGTGAAGTATCAGCCATCATTCATCACAAATTGTTCATAATTGGCTAATTGTTAACTTTCAGACCCTGCTCTTTCTGTTTATACATCAACCAATGAAAGATGAGGGGGCACACATTTACATCATTTGATGGGAAGCATATGCTAATGTTTACTTGCACTGTTTTCATGCTACTTCTTCCCTCAAATACGAACAGTTGCATGGAGAATAAAAGAAAACCAGATCTAAATGGCAAGCTGACTTTGATATGTATTTCTGCAGACACAGCCTTCTTCACAAGCGTGTATAAAGACTGAATGAGGATAAAGACTGTCCTACTCAGCTTAATTCATTTGAAGCTAAACACCTAGCGTCACATCTTAAGGTTGACTGTATATCAAGCTGACATGCCAAAAGGTGATTCACTCCTCTTATTTTAGCATGGGACTGGAAGTGCATCTCTGTCTCTGCACTTAATATAGAAGCACTTGAGTCAGCTAACCTGTGGAAGGCTAAAGATAGCAAGGCTGAATCCCTCCCTCAGCTCTACAGTATAAACTAACTGGTATCCAAACCAGCTTTGTCAAAACCAATCTCAGTCACTGGGAGATACAGTTCACCTTAGTTCTCATTTTAAACCATCTTGCTCACTCGTTTTACCAAGTGAAAGCCAAGATGGATTCAAGGAGCAATGGTACCAGATATTGTATCAAGAACAGACAGTAACCACGTGTACCTTCTAGTTCATCGGTGATTCTGTGATTCTAGTGACAAGCTCCTAAGGGGCTCGACAACCAATAAAAACTCCTCCAGAATGATCTGTGTGTCAAATGCTCCTCTTTCATCCCCCAATTCACTAGGGAGATAAGGGATACTTCTCACCTACAGCAGTACAATGCAAGTCTGTCCCTCTAAAATTATGTCCCAGAAGCATAAAATGACTTAGAAGTAGGTCATGTCACACAAGACATCAGACATTTTCAGCAGTTTTATTTTTCTTAGCATTCTGCTACCACCTACTTACCTAAGTTTTCCAGAATCCTCAAGCAATCTCTAAAATATTGCCTTCCATTCTCAGAGAAAATGATTTCCAGTAACTTTGAAAACAAATAAACAAAATATCTGATGAGTATTTTCCCTCCAAAAGAGGAAAATCAAAGTAGTAGTCAATTATTAAAATGACATCAAGAAAAGAAAAAAATAAGCAACATAAGGTGTACAGATTTATTAGAATGTGCTATACATTGTAGGTATGTTTAGAATATAAACAAGTAATTTCTTTTTTATGGTAAAATATGCAAGAAATCATAATGCTGCACACTCAAGATCTAAGTATTGACTTTGTCTCTAGACTTA